GAAAATGGGCCTCATCGAGGACTCTGCGAGGTGGCGAGCGAAGTTACCCCGAGGCAGACCATCAGAATCCTTTTCGAGTCTATCGAGAATCTATCGAATCATTAGAACGCGCAGAAAGAGCATCACGCAAACCTCAGAGTAAATCGATCGCGCCAAGTACAATTCATTGTCATCTTCACGGTCGCTGCTCCCTTTTAAACAATCACCCAAGGTTAATTCGGCCGGTGATAACGCCGTATTTGTGGCAACAATAAACTATTATTTGTTACATAAAAAAAGACTCAGTTATTTCTAACAACCACAAACGGCATAACAATCCAACCAACGAGAAATGGATGACGTTTCTTGTTCGTTATGTTGCACCCGAGACTTTGGATGTTCGAACGGAATTGGTAGAATTATTACATCTTGATGCCAGAAATTGTGACGCAGATAATTTATTTAAAACATTTGAAATTGCCATGATAGAAAGAGAAATTCCGTTCGAAAATATTGTCGCGTTGTCATGTGACAACGCTGCTGTCATGACAGGGCGACACTCGTCCTTTATGACAAAGCTTGCAACAAAATGCAGGGACAAATTTTTGACTGTCCGCAGTCCGTGTCATCTGTCTGCAATGGTAGTGCGCGAAGCGTGCAATACCATTCCAGACATATGCGAGGAGTTGTTACGAAAAGTAGCAACTTTCATATACAGTAGTCCCAAACGTTCGGCTATATTCCGCGGATTTCAGCAATGTTTTCAAACAACCGACAGAAAAATTTTAAAATTGTGTTCTACGCGATGGTTATCGCATTATACATCCGTAGTTACACTTTTAGAGAATTGGGACTCTGTATTGCTTTTTTTGCAAGAATTGACAATAAGCGAGAAATCAGAGTCCGGGGAACGTCTGTTAATCTCGATGCAAAATCCAGAGGCCAAAGCATATCTTTATTTTCTAAATTACGCTCTTGAGTTTTTTTATAAATTTAGCATTTTCTTTCAAACTCAAGAGACAAGAATTCATTTGTTTCAAAAGACTGCGGCAGAACTTTTATGCGATATATTACGCAATTTTCTGAAACCGCAGCTTTTGAAACACATGGATTTAGTAAGAATGATGAATTTTTCTGTAGTCGAAAATCAACTTCCATTTAATAGTATAAATTTAGGAACAGAGTGTCTTAATTTTCTGCATCAACTGAATGCAGAAGGCAAGTCCGACATCGTAGAAACCGTAAGGAAAAATTGTTTAATGTTTTATATTACAGCTGCAAATGAAATTCGTCATCGATTGGCAATTTGTATGTTTTTGAACCCACTTTTATATTAAATGATACAAATAGAGACATTTCCTTCAGAAATGTTCTCTTAATCGCTAAGAAATTCGGCGGTTTCGACGAAGAAGGACTGCAAACAGAATGGTCAGTATTGCCTTTGGAATTTACAACGAAAGGTAGACAGACGCTTATCGAGATGAAATTCGATGGTTTCTGGAAAACAATTTTATTAACGCGAAATTTGGACTATAAAATTAAATTTCCTGAATTGATGAAATTAGTAAATACAATTAGATCACTTCCAAATTCCAATGCCGATGCAGAAAGATTGTTTTCCATGTTACCTGACATAAAAACAAAGAAACGGAATAAACTTTCTTTGGCCAGCGTCAACTCTATTTGCGTTGTGAAATCTTCGTTAAAGGCGCAGAGGGAAAACTCTCAACCCATAGAAGTAGATGACGATCTACTCTATTGTATTCCAAAAATTTATATCATAGATTTGCTAAGAAGCAAAAGTGTAATTTAAGATTAAACGCAACATATGACAATAACTTTGAGAATTTTCCCGCTACGTCATATGACGAAAATTAAGGTACCGATTTACTACAGAGCTTTTCTCTAGAGAGATTTTTCTCTCCAGAGAAAAGCTCTTTAGTAAATTCGTACTATTAGGCTGCAATGACAGTATAAACGTTTTCATGCGACGTCGAGGTAGACTGGTCTTTTTACGTCAACGGTACCGCGACGTAGGCGCAACAAGGTGTGATGCATGTATGTGTCATAACGTCATGCGAAAGCGCTTACACTGCAACCGCAGTCTTATTAGTGATGTCCAAAATATTTTTTTTTGGACATCGCTAATATGTAAATAGTCGTTCAATTTGTCTCGCGTTGTTACTTTTTTTACGTATTTCGCTTGCTGTAAATATTATTCTGCTTGCTCTAACTATCATTTTTTTTCTTCATTTATTTGCTTATATTTTGCCGTATATTTTTAGTTAGTGAAATTGCTTGCTGTAGATAGTGTGGCTATGACGTAGAATGTCGCGCCTTGTTACACTTACGTCACGGTACCGTAAGAGCAACAATGCACGACATAACGTGCCAGCTTAATCGCAAACGTCCTATCCCGACATCCCATCCTTTGGAAATGTAAACAATTATATCATTTATTCATTTTTATGGCTCGTGTGTATATTAATAAAAATTAATGCATTCACGAGTTAGTTTTTCATTATATTGTTATTTCATTACATTAATAAAAACATTTTAATATACGGCATGTGATAATGTTACAAAGAAATAACAATTTTTTACATTTCCTTCCTGATGGAAGTGACCACCACCTTCCCGTGGTTTCCATTGAACGATAGCGTGCACGTTATTGTTTTACCTATCGTTACAATTATTTTGTTATGTAAAGTTAAGTCAAATATATAACATTTGATTGTGTGTAACAATTTGATACGGTTATTAAAAAACATAGTGGGAAAAGTCAGTAGTAATCTATTTCTGTAGCGTGCACGGTACTGGCTAAGAGTGGTTTTTCATTTTAATTAACCCTTAATTAACCCTTTACGAGTAAGACTGCTTTGAACAACATTATTCTAAAATATTTGTGGAATACGTTTTTAATGTGGTATAGGTAGGTATGCAATGCATAAGATTTCATTTAATTTTTCCTTTCTAGAAAAGATAGGAGAAAAGTATATTTGATCTTAATCCTTCTTAAGATTTATATAAATCGCTTTAAAAATTTGTTACAAATGATGTATATGTATCGAAATACAGTGAAAACTCGATAAATGTCCTCAAGAGCTGTTCCATAAATGATACATTTTTATCCCCACCACTAGGGGGATCCCCCTTGAACCAGTGAGGCGAAGTGTAACCGGAGACGTAGCGGCTTTCTTTAAAAATCTTTATTGCCTTCGTCATCTTAGTTTAAATGTCCCTGACAGTGTGACCACACTACTGTACAAGAAGAAAGTTTTTTATTTTTTACTTTTTTTTAATAAAAATTTTACTATCATGTGGGGAAGATTTTTCTAATTAAAATGAGACTAAACACGATATAAATCGGCTAATATTTGTTACCATAATATTGAATTAAATATTGTGTACTCGTATCTTCGCAAGGTCAGTGGATTGGTACATTTATCGAACAGTGGTAGCTAACGAAACCCCCTATTTCATAAGTGTTGCAGTTTTTGATCACTTACGAAACGGTGGAACCGTTCCGTTTGAAAATAGCTACCTCCCGTTCGATAAATGTAGCCAGCACCTCGATGCGTCGTTCTTTGATATTTCCGAACATAGAAAAGGACAGCACAAGAAGGATAAATAAAGAGAGAAAGACTCGCAAGTACAATATTTAATTCAATATTATGCTACCAAATATTGACCGATTTATATCGTGTTTAGCCTCATTTTAATCAGAGAAATCTGCCCAACATGATAGTGAAATTTTTATTAACAAAAAGTACAAAATAAAAAACTTTCTTCTGTGCAGTAGTGTGGTCACACTGACGCGGATATTTAAACTGGGGCGATAAATTCGAGTTTCAGTCCCTCTTTCTTCTTTAGCTACTGACTCTTTCTACGTTCGAAGCGTCGGCAAACTACAATCAAATTCGTAAGACGATTCTCCTATTCCGTAAGTGTTGCTGACCGGACCCGGAGTAGCGACATTTATCGAGTTTTCACTGTAATTATAAAACTAAAAACGTATAATCATCATTATATGGGAGCTGATCACGCTCAAAATCTAATGAGACCTTGAAACGAGAACATAAAACTTAAATGTTAAGTTTCATTGAAATTCGTTCAGCCGTTTAGATGCAATCATGTCAATAGCATAGGAACAAAAAAAGAATATGTTTTTTTGTAGTAGTCACAATATGATGAGGGTGTCCTAAAACTTGTATTTCCGCTAAAAAAAAATTTCGAAATTTATTTTCCATTATGATACTTTATTTTCCTTATACCTTACATAAGTCGGAAAATAAAAATGCTGGGACAGTCGAGGCTTGGAGTCGTATGCCACTTATCGCGAGGTCGTATTTCAGTTGTTTTGTCTTTTACAAGAGCAAGAAGGAAAGGCTCACACTAACGTTCTTTATCGATTTCCCGAAGTTGTGCGCAAGCGCCGAGCTCACGTACACGTGGCTCGTGCGGTAGTATATGCCTACTATCCCCACCACTCCATTAGACGCTAAGGGAGTTCGTCGTCACTGTTGTCGATTTCGATGCACTCAATTATGCCAGATCTGGCCACACTGCTTACAACCCCTCAGAGTTTAAAAGAAAACTCACGCGACACGCGACTACCTGGCCAGTACCGCCGCGACGGTACGATTCAAAGAGGACGAGTTGCGAGTCAAAGATCAGTTGCGGGGTTTTTAAAAAGGACAGATTTGCAGTTTTGTTCTCATTAATGTTTACAGCGTATTTGCGAGGGATGAGTCCGATATATATATATATAATCAATTCATTTTCCTTCAATAATTCTCCATTGCAAAAATTCTACAGTATTCTTACATTTTTTTATATTTTAAAATTTTCCCATGTTATTAGAAAGTAGATATACGACGAAAGTTATACAACTTATAGTTCCTAGCATGTATAACGTATATGTATATAAAGTAGTACAGATACTACTTTACAAACCCATTTGAATTTTGCCGCGTAACTTGTCGGTAATAGAGACATCAGACAAGAGGAAGGAAACCGAGTGGGGATTAAGAGGAGAACCACGTACACGAGGATAAGTAGGAGAATTCCAGACGGAAAGACTGATAATTAGTATAAGAAGCAGAGATAGGGAAGAATAAGCTATAAATGCCGTTTCTCTATTTATAGGTAAGGAATCTGTAAATAATGTAAATAATGTAACGGGACTTTAACTAGTGCTTAATAAATACCAACTCTATTTATAGTGAAACACAGTTTCGTTTATTCACCTACCACGCAATACATAAAAGAAAGAGGTATTATAAAACGGCATTTTGCTGACCAAAACGATGGACAAGCTACGTTTTGAAATTGGGGTAAAAGCAGGTCAAGATCTAAAATCGAACATCTATGCCATAACCTCAATTGGGACGCCACGTGGAGAGGTTTATGGCGTTTCAGAAGAGCACCAAGCTGCGGCATATCACACAGAACTGATAAAAACAGAAGCTTTTAAAAGAGCAAAAGCCACTCTCAAATTGAGACATCAATCTAGGAAGATTTGGATAAAATTAGATAAAGAATTAAGGAAGTTCTACATGGATGAAGAGGAAAACATAATATTATGGGATTATTATTTAGAAGAAATTACAAGTAAGTCACAACCTATAAGTAATTTAACAGAAGATACATTATCAAGGATCTTGGGAGCTGTCTTCAAAAAGGACGAGGAACACAAGCCACAAAGTGGGCGACATAATTTAAAGAATGTAACAGAAAAATTTATCATTGAGAAGTTTACAGGCAAGAATGCTAATGGAATTCAATGGTTAGATACATTTGAAAAAGAATGCAATCGTTTAGGCATACAAAAGGATGAAGAAAAGATCGAGATTTTTAGACTATTTTTAGAAGGCTCTTGTTTAGATTGGTACAGTTCGATGCTTATAAAACATTCACTGGCATCACAATGGGAGACTTGGAAAGATAATTTCTGCGAAACTTATGCAGACAAAGGTTGGTCTCCGGTTAAGTATGCAATTCTATATAGATATATAAATGGCTCATTATTAGATTACGCTTTAAAGAAAGAAAGGATTTTATTGGAGATGAATAAATCAATTGATAAATGTACTCTGATCGACCTCATAGCAGTAGGATTACCAGACTTTATAATGGACAAAATTGACAGAAAGAAATTAAAAGATACTGAAGATCTTTTCAATGGATTACGAAGCCTGGAACATATGGCAAAAAAGAAAAATACAGAAATTAGAACTATGAATAAATACACCAAAGAAGATCCAAAGAAAAAACAACAAAAAAGAGCATGTAGAATTTGTGAAAAAGAAGGAAAAATGAATCGCTTTCATCCGGAATCCTCATGCTGGTTCAAAGGAAATGAAAATATCGGTAGAGAAAAAAACCAAATTAAGTTTGTAAATAACGCAGAAATAGAGACTGAACTATCTGACGAGGAACAAAAAAACTTGTAGTTCCGCCATTAATCAAGGTCAAAGTGCTATTGCAAGATAACGTAGAAATTAGGGGAATATATGACTCAGGTTCAAACGTTTCCTTAATAAATTCAAAATTATTAAGACTGAAAAGAGGAAAAATAGATAGTGTGCAAGGAGCAAATCTAATGACGATTAATGGTGTGAAAAGAACTAAAGGGATGGTGTCAATAAAGATAAAAATCTTTAATATAGAAAAAACTGTAGATATATTTGTAATCGATAAAGATAAATTTGAATATTATTTTTTGATTGGACTGGATATAATAAAGAAATTCCAATTAATACAGGATGAAAATTTAGAGATCAAACAAAAAATATATAAGAATATCACAAAAAAAAACTTAGAAGAAAACAAAGATAACAAAACTACAGATAAGTATATAATAAATTTTAACGAACATATAAATATATCAAATTTTAGAATTTCGATAGATCTTCTAGACTATAAAAGAAAAACAGAGATAAACAAATTAATACAAAAGTATAGTGCAATATTTGCCAAAGATAAATATGATGTAGGGATGGTGGAAAATTATGAGGCTAGAATCGACCTACTAATGGACAAATTCTGTAGCAAGAGACCATATAAATGTAGCATAGAAGATAAAAAAGAGATAGAAGCACAAGTTGCAAAATTATTAAAAACGAATCTAATAGAAGAATCATACAGCCCCTTCGCGGCCCCAGTAACGCTAGCGTACAAAAGAGAAGAAAATAAAAAAACAAGATTGTGTTGTGATTTTAGAGACTTAAATAAAATTGTCATACCACAATCACAACCCTTTCCGCTAATAGAAGATTTAATGGTGAAAGCTAGAAATTGCAAATTCTTTTCAACATTTGACGTTAATTCAGCGTTCTGGGCGATCCCGTTACGAATAAAAGATAGAAAGATAACAGCGTTTGTCACGCCAGAAGGACACTTTCAATGGACGTGTCTACCATTTGGACTAAAAACATCGCCAGCAATATTCCAAAGAATATTAAGTAACATAATCAGAAAACACAGACTTACAGATTTTACAGTAAATTATATAGACGACATACAGTGAAAACTCGATAAATGTCGCTACTCCGGGTCCGGTCAGCAACATTTACGGAATAGGAGAATCGTCTTTCGAATTTGATTGTAGTTTGCCGACGCTTCGAACGTAGAAAGAGTCAGTAGCTAAAGAAGAAAGAGGGACTGAAACTCGGATTTATCGCCCCAGTTTAAATATCCGCGTCAGTGTGACCACACTACTGCACAGAAGAAAGTTTTTTATTTTTTACTTTTTGTTAATAAAAATTTCACTATCATGTTGGGGAGATTTCTCTGACTAAAATGAGGCTAAACACGATATAAATCGGTCAATATTTGGTAGCATAATATTGAATTAAATATTGTACTTGCGTGTCTTTCTCTCTTTATTTATCCTTCTTGTGCTGTCCTTTTCTATGTTCGGAAATATCAAAGAACGACGCATCGAGGTGCTGGCTACATTTATCGAACGGGAGGTAGCTATTTTCAAACGGAACGGTTCCACCGTTTCGTAAGTGATCAAAAACTGCAACACTTATGAAATAGGGGGTTTCGTTAGCTACCACTGTTCGATAAATGTACCAATCCACTGACCTTGCGAAGATACGAGTACACAATATTTAATTCAATATTATGGTAACAAATATTGGCCGATTTATATCGTGTTTAGTCTCATTTTAATTAGAAAAATCTTCCCCACATGATAGTAAAATTTTTATTAAAAAAAAGTAAAAAATAAAAAACTTTCTTCTTGTACAGTAGTGTGGTCACACTGACAGGGACATTTAAACTAAGATGGCGAAGGCAATAAAGATTTTTAAAGAAAGCCGCTACGTCTCCGGTTACACTTCGCCTCACTGGTTCAAGGGGGATCCCCCTAGTGGTGGGGATAAAAATGTATCATTTATGGAACAGCTCTTGAGGACATTTATCGAGTTTTCACTGTACTAGTATTTTCTAAGGATTTTACGGACCACATACACCACTTAACAAAATTACTAGAAGCTATAAAAAAAGAAGGATTTAGACTGAAATTCTCTAAATGCAAATTTGCAGAAAATTCAGTAAAATATCTAGGACATGTGATTAGTAATAATTCAATAAGACCAATGAACGATAACTTGATCGCAATAAAAGACTTTCCAACTCCAAGAACACAGAAAAACGTCAGACAATTCTTAGGAAAAGTGAATTTCTATAATAAATATATACCAAACAGAGCCATAATATTAGATCCACTACACAACCTATTGAGAAAAGGACAAAAATTTATTTGGACTGAAGAACATGAAAAAACATTCAAAAATATAAAACAATTATTATGCTCTAAACCGGTATTAGAAATATACGACCCAGATTTACCGATTTACATTTACACAGATGCAAGTTTACAAGGTATAGGAGCAGTAATGAAACAAAGACAATCAAATGATGAAGAGAAACCAGTAGCATACTTTTCAAAAAAATTGAATTATAGGATCCGATAAAATTTCTCTGTACACGTATAATATTGTAGAATCAAACCGGTCCGTCTTTTCCGCTCGCTTCTCTTGCTCTGCTCTACCGATCACATTCACCTAATCTCTCATATACACACACACACACGTACGCCCTGAGACAAAACCTACACGCATTCTGCATTTCGTCTTCGCAACCTGGCAATCGATTAATTTATTTATTCGGTATGGACAGCTGACTTCGACTCCGGTCATAGCAATCGATTGACGCCTCACGCACTTTCACAACAACACACTCACATTCACATCCCCACACTCGGCCATCTTGCATGATATCTGCCCTCAGATATCCATTGTTCATTCTTCACCTGATGAGATATCACTAACTTCATTAACCCACGGTTTCATGTGTTCCGCCAAAGTCGATGTCTGCTGCGGACCTTCGTGCTCGCCCACCTTACACACAATGAAACGATCATTCCTTAGGATTCTTTCAACTCGATACGGACCTAAGAATTTGGACGCAAATTTCAAACCCGGGCTGTACTGGGTTCTCTTTATAGCAACCAACTCTCCCTCTTTGTATTGCCGAGCTTTCTTTGTATGTTTATCGTATCCGCGACGATTTTCACGCTGAATCTTCAAAATATTTTCCTTAGCTTGATTCCGCAGCTCTTCCCTGTTACTTTGAAACAAATCAATCCATTCCTTCTCTATTAACTCACGAATATCCGGATTATCCTTCATTCGTGGATATGTCCCAAACAGTAACTTAAACGGCGTTGTACCGATGCTCCTATGAGGTGTTGCATTTAAAAATTTCTGCGCAATATCCAAATAGCGATACCACTCTTCCGGTTTCGGTGCCGACAACTTTGTCACTACTGGTATTAGCGTTCTGTTTACACGCTCCACTTGACCATTAGCCCTTGGCATTCCCGCAGTTATTAAAATTTGTTCTATCGCTTCCAATCTACAATATTCCCGAAAATCATGAGAAGTGAAAGCTGTACCCTGATCAGAGATAATTCTCCTGGGATTTCCAAAAATTGACGATTGTTTTTTCAAACGTACTATCACTTCGGAGGTAGCTGTAGTCTTCGTGGCATACAGCCACACAAACTTCGAAAATGCATCCACAACTACAAAAATATGCTTATAAGTCTTTCGCGTAGATGGAAGTGGTCCAAGATGGTCAATATGATATGTGTCTAATGGCACATTTCTCTTGTCAATAGAATGTAAAAATCCTTCCTGTCTCCCATGTTTCCTTTCAGCAAGAATACACGGAACACAATTACGCACCACTTTCTCTACTTTTGATTTTAAATCTGCGAACCAATAGTCTTTCCTAACTAGTGTCTCCGTTTTCGCACTCCCGATATGACCGTTCTCGTGTACACGTCGAATGATTTGCGATTGCATAATACGCGGCACTATTAATTTAACGTCACTCTCAATTTCTTTAAATAAAAGACCATTCCGCACTACAAACCCACTTAACTGTTTTTCATTCACTGCTTCAACAATCGGTTTCAAACTCTCATCCTCACACTGCGCTTTACGTAACCTCACAATCATACTATCCTCACATTCGTCTACTAACATACACTTTGGAAGCGGATTCCGGCTTAACGCGTCTACATGTCTTAAACTATTTCCCGAACGGTGCTCTATTTTATAATTAAACTCCTCTAATAAAAGAGCCCATCTCGCAATTCGAACGCACAAATCTCTCTTACGCATCGTTAATGTAAACGCCTGACAATCTGTAACTATTTTAAACGGTATACCTAACAAATATATTCTAAATTTTCGTAGGGCTTTAACTATTGCCAAAACCTCCAGCTCATAACTAATATATTTCGATTCTGCTGGTGTTGTTTTTCCGCTTGCAAAGTATACTGGATAAAATTTATTATCATTACTATCACGCTGTAGAAGAATCGCACCATAACCATACATTGAAGCATCAGTATGTAATTCCGTTTCCGCTTTTAATCTATATAATTTCAAAACTGGACCATTGCTCAAAATAGTTTTTAACCTCGTAAACGCTAATTTTTCCTCTTCCCCAAAATGAAAGTTAACGTTTGCTTTCAATAAGTTTGTTAACGGTCGCGCAATCACGGAATAATTTCGGATAAATTTTCTAAAGTAACCAGCCAAAGCCAAAAAACTTTGATTCTGCTTGAAATTTTGTGGTTGGGGAAATCTCATAACTGCTTCTGTTTTCTTTCCCGACGGACGAATGCTTCCTTCTTCAATTATGTGCCCTAAAAACTCTATTCTTGTCTGCAGAAAACTACACTTTTTCCAGTTAATGTTCAAACCGAATTCTTCTGCAACGCGCAACACTATTTTTAAGTTTTCTATACCATCTTCGTAATCTAATGAGGGAATAATTAAATCGTCCATATAAACTATAACTTTTTTCTTATTAATTAAATACTTAAAGACAGCATTTATAAATTTTTGAAATACCGCTGGTGAATTACATAAACCGAATGGAACATATAGAAATTCATATTGGCCGTTTGGAACTATGAAAGCAGTATATTTCCTACTATCTTCATCTATAAGCACGTGAAAAAATCCATTTTTTAAATCCAACGTACTAAAAATATGTGAACCTTGTAGAGCATCCAATTGATCTTCGATTAGTGGCAACGGGTATCGATCTTTAATTATTTTTGTATTAAGTTTTCTATAATCTATACAGAGCCTGGTTGTATTGTCTTTTTTCTTTACAAGTACTACCGGACTGGCATAATCAGAAAGAGACGGCTGCACAATACCGTCAGCAAGCCACTGCTTTATATGTTTGTCAACTTCTTCTTTTTCAAGAGGGGATAATCGTCTAGCCCTTTGGCAAACTGGTTCATCATCTTTAACCGTTATGGACATTTTTATACCCGTTTCTCGTGTTTTGACCGGTTCATAATTTTGTATCGAATCGCGAATGATGCCTCTATGTTTGGTATTGGAAATATTCGACAAATCGATCTCATTTGCTTCATCTATACAATCTATTTTGTAAATTTCGGGTATATTACTTTCTAACTGATTTTCTTTTTCAACGCTACGAATAGAAATCTCGCCTCTCTTAATATTCATTTCAACTGCATTTAAAAAATCGGTGCCAATTATCAAATCATGTTGCATTAACGTATCAGATATTACCCAGATGTTAATTGGGTATTTATTACCATCGATTTCTATTTGCGCATTGAACTCGCGTATTGTTTTGTTACTTTGAGATCCAATTCCGCAAAATGTAATTTCTCGTCGTAATAACTGTGGTTAAATTCTCTCCATTTATCCTTACTTTCTTATAATATTTTTCGCGCATATACCGCGAAATATCACAAACGTTTTTTACATCGTCCTTCTTTGAACAATTCGCCGCTACGTGACCAAATGCTTGACATTTAAAACATTTCGCGCCGCGACTTTTCAAATGACAGTTCGCACTATAATGGCCTTCCATACCGCAATTAAAACAACGATTAATACTTTTGGATACTTCCCTTCTCTCGTATCCCTCGACTCTCGGAGATGTGATTCTTTCGTTCTCCCTCGATGGTCGCAATGGTCTCTCTTCCAGTCGCAGCGGTCTATACG